ATTGTAGGTTGAACTACAAGATATGTTGATGTTATTTTTTCTTTGTATTAAATTTTATTTGCTTTCAGATAACAAAGTTAATAAAGAAGAAATAAAGACCGCACCGAAACCGAGTTCCGAGTCATTAAAACTAGAGGAAGTAACACATGAATCTGCAATGATTATGAGGAGTGAACCTCCAGAGACTCCTGTCCCGCCCGATGTAAAAGTATATACAGATAGAAGAGTTTTGAATAATTCTCATAACTTTAGACCGAAGTTGCCACACGCGCAACAAATCGAAAAAAATAATTTAGCGGCGCTAAGGCTTAGACTCCAGCCTGATACGGATTTAGAGAAACTACTTTGTAAAAAGTGCAATACCAGACATAGTCAGATACTAGAACTATATGAACACATGGCCGGACACTACAAATGGATGAGATATGCATGTAAATTGTGTAATTTTAAAAATTACGGATTCGGAAACTTACTAGAACATGTGAAAATAGTTCACAAATTAAAGGGTGATTCAGATTTTTACTATAGCACTGTAAAAGCAATAGACGCGAACCAAGCAATGGAATTGGCAGAACCTGTAGAACAAATAGGAGATACAAATGAAGTTAGTCCAGATTCTAGACGCAACAGCCGATGCTCCAGTGACTCCAGTCGATTGTCCGACGAGAGCTCTTCCAGTAGCGTTCGTATTGAAGGAGCTAAGAAACGGAAAATGAACTCTGGTAGAAGTATTCCTAAGAAAAAGAAAGAATCAAATGGTATGTATACATTTTTTGTGATTTTATTTCAATGGTGTGCCTATGAAATATTAATTTTAACTTTGTTTCAGATGAAGGTACGGATAAACGATCTAACAGTGCACTTGGCGAAAAAGAGAGTATTCCAGAAATAGAATATGTAAATACCAAACTATTTGAAGAGAACTCTTCAGATATAGATGAAATCGACGACAAGATTCCAAAGAAGCAAATTATAGGAGAAAAGTCGTCTATGGCTTCGAGGAGACCGATTCGAAAACGCACGAGACCAAAAAATGAGGATTTTGAATACGATCTATCAAATTTGCTCAAGTTAGAAGCGCAGGGCTACAGGGATTCTCAAATTATAACTGCCAAATCTTCACAAAGTAAAAGAAAAAGTCAAATAGAAATTCAAAACAATTATGAAGTAGCAAATAGAGATTGTTGTGGTGCTCTACTAGCTTTATCGAAAAAGTCTATAGAAAATGCAGCTGCACATATGAAAGTGTTAAGTTTTACCATAAACAATATTCAAAAAGAGCAGCGCCCCTCGAATGTCTTTGTTCGGCCCACGATAACAAAAGTTGCGAAGACTGATAAAACATCGCCGAAAAAAGATTCCCTCGAATCTACAAAAGAAGTGATTATTGTGAACAAAATAACATCAGAGTCAAAAACTAGCACAACTGCCACTCCAGTTAAAGAAACGCAAGAAAAGAAAGAAATTAATGAGAAAGTTGAAACAATTATTATAGAATCACCTGAACCAACTTCAGATGAAGCAACTGTGATTTCAAATGATGATAAAAACGTTAAAGATAATGAAAACAAAGAAGTGCCTACTACTGGAAATGAAACTGCAAAAACAAATTCAAATATACCAGTTGTTCCTTTAAAATTGCGCCGCCAAAGTGTAGACATAATAAAAAATCCAATTTTAAATAAAAACTATACTGACTTTTCAAAAGTTGGAATGAAAACGAAAATACTTGTTATTAAACCAATCAATAGAAATAAAGATGGAACACAGACGATAAAAGCACCATTGAAATTTCAAACTATTAAATTGAAAGATCCAATCAAAGGTAATTCGTCAAATGAAGAGAAATCTAAAGACCAAGTTGTTGTAGTGCAGGTACCTAAAGTAGATTGTGCTGTGACGCTGCCTTCAATAGTATTACCTAATACTCCTAATACTAATGTTATAGACAACAAGAACATAAAGGTAGAAGATATTGTTGATGACAAAATCAATGAAAAAGATAGTGACCAAAAGATGACCGAATGATGGAGAGAGAACAATAAAGTATCCAATATGTTGTTGTATTATGTACCTTTTATATGCAACACAATAATTTTCCTTTATTTTAAGTTTTTCGTTATATTGTACAGCTTTCTACATAGGTAGGTAGGAATAAATAATAAAATTATAAACCATTACTGTCTTTTATTCTTGCCTTTTTATGAAATTATATCACAGTAGATCAGTAGTATCAGTTCCAATAGATTCATAACAGTTGCGTCATTTAGTAGGTGGAGCTGAGATTTAGAAGATGAAATAAGTCATGCAGGATGCAGTCATATTTCTTTTGCACTGTTTTATTAGTCGTTAGTGCCCGCAAGCGTGATGCGAGTGATTTCCTGTTTACGCATGCCATAGCGCCCGCATGCGAAAACCGCATCCGACACCACGGTTTATTATTCGTGCCGATTATTTAATTAGTCGTTCATCTCGAACCTTCAAGTGAGGTTAGGGTCGCAGAGTCTAGCTCCGGATTAGATTCTAGAAACCCCCCCCCCCCATTATCGAAACTACGATGCATCGTAATGAACATATATTGCATAATTGAGGTAACAGCTTACTTCTGTATGCAACCACAAAATTTTAGCCACTCAGACGCAGTGCTTCACAAGCACTGATAAAATAGTATAGCGTACGTACAGTTTGCTTATTATGTGCGATGTGTTGCATAAGATTAAGATCAGAGATTTCTATAATACTATCGTTTTAAAACATAAATATTTTTAAAAATTGGTTTTATATATATGATTTGGATATATATTTCTAGTATCCTTTACCTCTTCATTAGTAGTTTTTCATCAAATTATTGTATGTTGTTATGTTCACAAAATATTTAAACCCATCCAACGAAAAGAGTTATATTTTGTAATTGACCATAAGGTCATAAGAGATGTAACCCTTTTCATTGGATAGGTCTGTTTATATTTTTATAGCAAAAGAATAAAATACAAGTTTACATATACTAAATTTAATAAGAAATAATGTTACATTCTCATTCATTTACATCTGTAATGTTTAAGCATTCTTTGCCAAAGTTTCAGCTTTAGCAACCACTTCTTCAATGGGACCTACCATGTAGAATGCTACTTCAGGTAAGTGGTCATACTCTCCTTGCAGGATCTTAGAGAATCCCTTAATGGTCTCCTCAAGAGGTACAAGTTTACCAGCATGTCCAGTGAACACTTCAGCCACCTGGAAAGGCTGAGACAGGAATCTCTGGATCTTGCGAGCACGAGCTACAGTCAGCTTGTCCTCTTCAGATAATTCATCCATACCCAAGATAGCAATGATGTCCTGGAGTGACTTGTAATCTTGCAGGATCTTCTGAACACCTCGGGCAACATTGTAGTGCTCAGCACCAATGATGTTGGGGTCCATGATACGTGAGGTGGAATCAAGAGGATCCACAGCCGGGTAGATACCAAGCTCAGCAATAGCTCGGGACAACACGGTGGTGGCGTCCAAGTGAGCAAAAGTTGTGGCAGGGGCAGGGTCAGTCAAGTCATCAGCGGGCACATAAATAGCTTGCACAGAGGTGATGGAGCCCTTCTTTGTGGTGGTAATACGTTCCTGCATAGTACCCATGTCAGTAGCCAAGGTTGGTTGGTAACCCACAGCAGATGGAATACGACCAAGCAGAGCAGACACTTCAGAACCGGCTTGAGTGAAACGGAAAATGTTGTCAATGAAGAGCAGCACATCCTGACCCTCCTGGTCACGGAAGTATTCAGCAACGGTAAGTCCAGTCAGGGCGACACGGGCACGCGCGCCAGGGGGCTCGTTCATCTGACCATATACAAGAGCTACTTTCGATGTCTTGTCCTTCAGGGAGATGACTCCAGACTCAATCATTTCATGGTACAAGTCATTACCTTCACGAGTACGTTCACCTACACCAGCGAACACAGAGTAACCACCGTGGGCCTTAGCAACATTGTTGATCAGTTCCATGATGAGTACAGTCTTGCCGACACCAGCGCCGCCGAACAGACCAATCTTTCCTCCCTTTGCGTACGGGGCAAGTAGATCTACAACCTTAATACCTGTTACCAGGATTTCTTGTTCCACAGACATGTCCACAAACTCAGGAGCTTCAGCGTGGATCGCAGCTGTTTTATCAGTTGGAATAGGGCCACGCTCATCAATGGGCTCTCCAATTACATTGATGATGCGGCCGAGGGTCTCAGCTCCAACAGGAATACGAATGGGCGAACCAGAGTCAAGTACGGGTTGACCGCGTACGAGACCTTCGGTACCGTCCATGGCGATGGTGCGGACAGTGTTTTCACCCAAGTGCTGCGCAACTTCCAGCACCAGTCTGGGGGACCGGTTTTGTACTTCGAGGGCATTAAGGATTGGTGGAAGGTTATCTTCGAATTGAACATCCACTACGGCACCGATTACGGCAACCACCTTACCTTGTCCTTTAGCGGAAGCTTTGGCCGCGTAATCTCTCTTGTTTCCAATTGAAACTGCAGCAATCTTACTGCATTCTGACAGGGTCTTTTCGGCTACCGTTTTAACGGCTAACAAGCCGCTTCCAACCCTGCTTACAGCCCCTAACATTTTTATTATTCGTAGCACTTGGGCGATGAAAAAGGGATCACACAGTAAATTATGTAATAACCTAAAATGATTACCGTGCGTAGATAACAAATGGAATGTTCAGCAGTATCCACATGATATCGACGTTTTTACCCATGATTTTGCGCATGTCTATTGACCCGATTTCATTTTTCTTTTAGTTTAATTTTATTTTATTTCAATATGTAAAAAAGCATTTTAATACATTATAAATAATTTCTACTTCCTAAATGCTTATGTATAAGTTTATAGAGGAGTAATAAAATAAAAATGTTAATGTTTTGTCACTTTCCTTAATTATCGATATGTATAGTGGCAATTGTTGGGCTTCACTAACTGTCAATGTATTTTTTGTCAAATTGACAGTACGAAATTCCACAATAATATCCAATTCTTGTATTTTTGTACTGAATGTTTATTTTCATTATATGTACAAGTATACTTATATATGAGTTACCAAATAACACCGTTTTAAAATTGAACCAGAAGCTTTAGTAAATAATGTATCAGATCTGATTTAAGATTTACTTAACCTGTACTTTTAAAGTTAAACAGTAGTCGAAACTTTAAAAAATGTATGGAATACGTTTATTGCCAAGGGTATGTAATTGTGTTATAAAAAGACAAATTATTTTTCTCTCACTACTTTTTCAAAAATATGTTTTCCTTTGATTTTATAGGCTTTACAATATCGGCGGTTTTCAACTATTGTCAATTATGCAAGACCCCTAATTTTAAATAATAAAGTTTCAAAAATAAGGGACTATAGTTCTATAGCGGTAGAAGATAGTTATATTAAGAAATTCATGAATGCTGTAGGATGGATGGATCAATCACGAACGGTAAGATTTGTAGGACATTGTAAGAGGTTGTCAGCTGATTACAAATGTAACATTTTACATTCTACAAAAACACATTCATCCACTGTGTTGTGACCCAATCTTAATAGCAAGCCATAGTACCTGATTTCAGATTGGAATTTGTAATATAGGTTTAGTAAAAAAAATTGTTACCAAAAAATAGGCTATTTTTATAAAAATCTGCTTTTAAATAATTGTATGAGATTTCATAACCTTTATAATATGCTTGTTATTTCAGCGACTAAAACTAACTGGATATTTTCTATATGAATCTGTACCAGAAAAAGTTGCATATCAGGAATGGTTTGAGAAATTAGACTTACCTGATACTTTTGCCTCTTGGTTTGTTGTCACAGAACTGCATGTGTGGTTAATATTAGTGAGATATATGGCTGAAGATGTCACTTCAATTACTAACGATAAGAAGAAATATGTAAAAGGTGATGGTCATTTTGTAAGGAATTGTGTTATAGAAGCACTATGGGCTGATGTTGCTATGAGGGTAAAGTTATTAGAGGTGAGCACATTTTTTTTTACATTTTATACTTGCAAAAATATAAGCTGTCGTGTATATTTATTTCAATCCAAAAAGTTTTTTTACTGTAGACATTTTTAACTAAGATATTTAAATTCCAAAATATTTCTAGTAAACTACTTTTTGGTTATTTACTACCTTTGTTTTACAATATCACTATACGTTAAAAATGAAATATTGTAATATCCGCCATATTTGGAATTTGACATTCTTCTGTTTACTTATTTTTGGTGTTAGATTAAACCAATAAATAATCCACTTTAATCCCCAATTTAAAAAAAATTACGTGTTTAAATTGAATTTATTGCCATTGAATGTTACACCCAGGGTGCAAATCCTGCAATAGCAAGGAAACAAGTGACAGAACTGTCGGAACAATTTCAAGCAGCTCTAGTTGCTTATGACGAGGGTTTGAGTGATGATAAAATAATGGCATCGGCTGTGTGGCGCAGATTTTACTCACTATCTGAAGATGCTAATGCTATGGATATTGAGAAGATTGTTCATTTCATTAGACATCAGGTAAATAAGTTTTTAGTTTATATAATAGTTATTTACATAGTTAACTGAGTATTGATGAAAGCGGTTTTATTAAAGCATTATATGTTATAAGCTGTCGCCCGCGACTTCGTCCGCACAGAATTAAAGAAATAATAATAAGTAGCCATGTGCCCTTCCAGACTATGTTCTACATCTGTGCAAAATTTCATCAAGATCCGTTGAGCTGTTCCAGAGATAACTTTAAACATCCTTCCATCCAAACATTCACATTTGTAATATTAGTAAAATTTTGTAGTTAGTATGAAGGTATAATCTTCTTAATAAAAAGTTGTGAAACATTAACTGCCACCAAATTAGCTTATAATTTTTAAAAATCATCTTAAAAATCTCATTGGAAATAAATGTGTTAAAAATATTTATCACAGTTATGGGTCATACGTAAAATTGATTATTATTATATTATTTTTGCAGGTATCAGAACTTGATAAGATTCCCAGTAAAGACTTAAAATGGAAACCTGTCTTTACTTGGTTAAGTATAAACGATCATTAGCTATGGATATATACAAATAAGTAGATCAGTTGATTGTTATTTATTGTTTGTAAATAAAATGAATAAATCATGTATTTGTGTTTGAAAATAACAATCGTAGTTCGTCGCATTTCTCCCTTTGCCATAGAACTGTGGTGACAATCCTACATAGATGGTCTAACTTACAATTATTATTGCAATAAGGCCATCTCCTATCGCTTAATTTTGGTACATAAGCTGCGTATAAATCTAGCAGGTTCCTGTCCGTGGTCACCATACGTTGGAGCAAATCGTCCATAGACTGAGCGCTTAAGTCTTTAACACCGAAGCTATTCTTCATATCATACAGTTGGAACCAATGAGGACGACGATTCGGTGTTAAATTAGCTTCTGTTAGATTATATATGTAGTTGTTGATACTTTGCGGTGCCTGGAACGAAAATAGCGTAACATTTTATACAATGCATTTTCTTAAGTAAAATGTATTTCGAGGTTTGTTACTTTTTTTACGAGGATTTTTAAATATTAGATAAAAACGAAAGAAAATGATAATTTACTAACGATCTAGAATAAGTCTTCCGAGGTAATGTAAGCTTAATGAATTTGATGGTCCTTTGTAAGCAGGATTTAATATTTAAAATGGTATACATACATATATTAATGAATGAAGTTTAAAAATATAATAGAAAATGAACACATACGTATGTTACCGGATTAAAAGTGGCTATTTTATAGTTCAAATTGTAGTTAGTATAAGCAGTCGCAGCGCCAACTCCCCACGCCACGTTGATCGGTAGCTTGGGCTCCACCGTGCTATAGAATATTTTGAATTCATCAGAGTGAATGTGCCCATTGAACTCCGCAGCAATTGTTGATGAAAATCTGCAATAACGATAACCGTTCAAATATTATTGAATTCATAAAAACCCAAATCTCGAACTGAGCAGTTATCTCGGTAACGGATCTAGGTTTCCTTAGAGTCGGAATGTTACAGAAGGTGTTTCAGTACTCATTCACAGTTATATTTCAAATAAACACGATCTGATTAATTAATCTTTGTGAACTATAAAATACAGGTACGTTGTGTATCTTACCTATTAACAATCCTGTTGTATTCTCTTGTCCAAATATGAGCTAAATCATGTACTCCTGGTGGGATGTGACTCAAAATGTGCACCTTCTCTCCCGCCAGCTCCGCTCCGCGTAGCTCCTGCACCAGCCACTCCAAGTGACGCTTCATCTCCAACGGGTCGTACACCAACCACCTGAAATTACAGTAACCAAATCGTATTTTAATATTTTATACGTTTAAAACAAAAATGTATATGAACTGTTTTGACCGCAAATCTCTACAATCCAAAAAAGTATAATCAGACATTCTTTTCTTATATTCTGTACTTTTCTAACAATTTTTGATAGTCCAATATCATCTTTTTATTAGCACAGCAGTTGCCTGTGCGGAATTAAAGAAAAATCTAGTAATAAATATCGTTTGTCACCCGGGGATAGAGTAGCCGCCCAACAAACAATAAGTAAAAATTCAGTTTTTTTTAACGGATATCAGGTTCGCGTTTAAACTTACCAGTTATATTTATAAGCGATATTAGTATTAAGTGAGATAGCTCTGAGTCCCGGTCGCACCAATCTTGAGAATCCTCCGTGAACTCTCAGCGATGCTTTTGCCTCCTCTGTTAGATAATGATCCCACTTATTTACTAATCCTTCGTATAACCAAGTTGTGTTTAATTTCGCTCCAGTTACTGACACCGGAGCGAACCTGTTAAAATAAAATAAGCCATAAAATAAAAAATAAATATAAACGAAACTCTATGTGAAAAAAGGGGTTAGACAAAATGCTTTCGCTCCGAAGCGATTCTATAGCGAAATTCAAAATTGTATGGAACTGACTCGTGACAATCACGTGACTTATTTAAAGTTATTGTCAATTCCATACATTTTTTAAGTGCGTATGTTTCTATCTAAGATAAGAATATGTTTTTTTGTGGATGTTTCGTCGGTGTGTACCCACGGTAAGACAATACTCACTGATTCGTCGGCTGCGATTCATGGTTGCCAATAGCTGGTATAATTAATACATCTTCCCCGAAAGATGTTCGCATTTTATTTATAAGATATTGATTGATTTCATCGATCAATTCATAGGAAGTTTCCCAAATACCATGGTCGATTGTATCCCCTATGTAATACACTACATCGAACTGAAAATCGGAATACAAGTTATGTTAACTATGTATTTAAATATTATTAAAGTGAACTTATCATCGTCAAATCGTGTACGCTGTCCCTTTGTTATATACCTAATAGTAGCCTATGTGTTCTTCCATACTATATTCTACATGTATGCCGAATTTTAACCAAGATCCTTGCAGTCGTTCAGGAGATATCTTCAAACAAAGATCCATCCATCCAAATATTCGCATTCATGATATTAGTACAATAACTACCAATAAAATATCATCGCTAAAATTTCCGAAAAAACAATCAATTTGTGAAGAAATTCGTTAAATTTTCAATTTGTTTAGTCTGTAATTTGCCTATAAACGGCGTACACGATTTTATGCTGGCTGTTTTATCAATACTAACTTTATGAGCTGATGCCATCCTTTCTATAAGATCGTCGTACGCCCATCTCGGAGTATCACAATTTCTATAATCACCCCAGTATCCAGCCGGTTCAACATATCTCGTCTGAGCTCTCATTGAATTTCTCATACGAATTTCTTTTATTTTCGGTACATCTCCCAAATTAAGTAAAATATTTTCACCATCTCCAATCACACTGTTTTCTACTTCAGAACCATCTGTAACAATGTCTGATGATGGTCTTAGTCTTTGTCCCTTTCTGCAGCATGTCGGTTCATCGCACTGCGCTACACCGAAGGCCTCGTATAACGGGTCTATGTGCGCGTCAGTTAATATTGCCACCGTAAGAGGACTCTGATCTATAACTGGGGTAGGTACCTGAAATATTTGAATTTGGAAATAAAGATAAAATATACGTAATTCGCATCATATACATGATGGCCGTTTAAATTAATGAATAAAGTAGAATTTACTTACACGTGATTTTTGCTAAATATATTGTTATATATAAATATACACATTATATTGTTTCCTAAACAAAACAATCTAGGATTTCGTATATAGAATCTTATTTATTAGATGTTTAGAGGTACCTTGAAGGTACATATATATAAGTGGGCTATTTATAGACCACTTTGCACATATTATCAAAACAAATATTAGTAGACCACTTACGTTAGCCGCTTGAATTCTCTGCGGCAGTTCGACTTGCCACTCGAAACGAGAGTCGTTGTACGAACAAAAGTTGGGGTTATCGGACCTTTGCAAGACAAGGCCGCAGAAGTTACGCGGCGTCGCCTCTGGAGTATTTCTGATGATGTAAGTAATGATGTTCTGTAAACCAAAATTATAAATATACTAGCTGTCGCCGCGACTCCGTGCGCGGAATTAAAAACAAACTTAATAAGTAGCCTATGTGTTTTCCTGAATATGTTCTATATGTATGCCAAATTTCATCGAGATGCGTTCTGCTGTTCTGGATATATCTTTAAACAAATATCCATCCATCCATCCAAACATTCGCATTTATAAGTAAGATTTGTTTTTTTTTGCCGTAAACACATTATATGTTCCAGGTGTAATTTCACTTACCAGATTCAAAGAAATGGCTCCGCTGCAAACATTGTAGCTCTCTATACCAAGAAGGACGCATATATTAGAAAGGGAGCTAGTTAAATCGTCATCTGATGCGCCTGCTCGTATCAGTTCGAATAGAGCTGAGAATGCGCTGCGGCATACCAAGCAGTCCAGACTCTGTTGAAACGTTAATATATTTAAAAAGTACATATTTAAATATAAATATTTTATTAACTAACAAAGGTTATCAGGGCTGAAGGTATGCAATTTATGGTTTTAATTTTAAGAAAAATCAAAACAAATGTTTTGTTCCGGCGTTAGAAAGCCATGGTAATTTCAAGCCAGTTTCTTATTGAAACATGATTATTTCATGAAAATTAATCTTTCCGTTAATAAAGTGCTTTTTAACAGGTGATTTGGTAGCTATATAAATAATTTCTTACCATTCGCACATCCGAGCGATATTCATGCGTAGTCACATGTTGCGTTCTGCGTAAAATTTCAAAAACATCTTCCTGCAATTTTTGTTCGTCGCTCGATAACAATTCATTTTTCATATATTTCCCGATTACAGTTTCAACTTCATCTAAATAGTATAAAAAAAATTTTTTATTAAAAAATTCTATTTTTCTGATAACGAAAATTAACATTAGTATGATATTTAATAGTCACCATTGTGACATGTGATTAAGATAATTGATTTTCCAATAACAAAAGATAATATCGGATTAAAAATTTTATACACATCATACTGCCTAAAACCTCGAAATCAATATACTGGATATCTTACAGATAATAATCAAACAAAAAGAACAAATCTCGTATTACGAATTTACGATAAACTTTATTACATTTTACTTCGACCATTAGAAATCAAGCAGGAAGAAAGGAAAAGCTAAATCGAATACTGAGGAGTTTGAACCAGCCAATCTCAGGAACTACAGAATCGAATTCAAAAATTATCTTTCTTTTAGACAGGTCAAAAATTACGAAAGATTAAAAACTATTTAACGTCGCAATATAGACTAACTAGAGTCTTAAAAAGGTAAGCAAAAAAGATGAAAAACCAAGCAAATAACTTAACATTTTGTGAACTTGAATCCTTAGATCCTATATAACATTAGCTACCCGTGGCAAATAACTGAAAGCAAATGTCGTATTGGTACCTATTTATTTGATGTTAGAATAATTGATAGTTCTCATAGTTAAGCTATTTTAAACACTAATTTAATAATTTGAATAGTTCTTACCTGGCGTTATTAAATCAGCAAAACACGTGTTGAGTATTAAAACGAATATAAAAAACACTTTCATCTTTACTATACGTCGATGTACTACCGACATATATCACTTTACCTTATATTATGTACGTGTTTAACTATAAAAATGTACTTGAGATTCAATATCCCTTGTTAAACATTCCTAATATATCGCCCGCATTTAATCTATATCTAGTGTCGTCAATAGCTAATGTTCCATTGAATTGAACAAAAAATGTACTTGAGTTATCCGCTATCGATTTATCAGTTTATCTTAATACTAATGATTACACTCAAGAGAGAAAACAAAATGGTAAACGCGTGAAACAAATTCATACTGTGGATTTTCATACTTCTATAGAATATTATTGTTATCTCTTTTTTTACAACGACGATGAGTGGGATGACATTATTTTTAGTAGAATTGTTTCGGTGGTGGAAACTAATAGGCCAGCGTCTACTATACGATAAGAGTTGTTGGTATGGAATATTAATGACAGGTAAATTTAATTTCACACACCTTCGGTAAATACGGACTGCAAATTAAATATTACTACAATAAAAATACAAGTTTATTACATAATGAATTAATTTATGTCGAATTTTATAATACTCCTAATATAATATTTAATAATTTAGGATATTGTGTACTGTCTGGAAAACAATTATATTTTTATATTTATGAACAAATTATTGAAACAATCTGCCACAGGTTTCATCTTTATCCAGACAGAGCTATCACATGAGTCCTTTGATGTTAATCGTAACCATGACGCCTTTGATGTTACAATTCCGAGATAAATTCAACATAAATAATTTTAAGATTAAGAGATGAGTCACAGCGTGAATCTTTCTTTTACAATGAATCAAAAAAATTACAAACATAACCTACAACATAACCTCAAAACCCGATAATTTGGCACAACGAAAAAACCTTTATGTAAGAAAACTTTATTAAAATTAAGATTAAATATTTCAACAATAAACATCCGTAAACATGATTTCCTATGATTTCATAGTTCATACTTCCGTCATGTCAACGTCTTCTATATTCAAATCGTCCAACATCTCAGCGAGCGTGATGCGCGGCAGTGACGGATCTATCTCATCCGTGTCTATGGGCACTCGGTTTTCGTCCTTGAAGATGTTAATGTTCTGTCTGAACGCTGGATCCTCTTCCAAATCGTCCAAGAACTCATTGTAATCCCTGAAGGAAAAATTAAATTAGAACATCACATTCCAAACGCACTTATGTAGCCAGAGAAACAAATTGCATACACAGCGACCGGTAAGCTATTTCATATTTTCAATAAATATTGTTATTTTGTGAGAATTCTGAGATAAAGTGATGTGTTATTGTATAATATGAATATCTGATGTTATTTACTTATGTTAGAAATGAAAATATATCAAAAATTACGAATCCTCGCGCAAGATTTTGTCCAAATACCTGCGTTACAAAGTTAATTGTATTTCATATTTTATCTACGCGTGATTGATGGATCAAAAAGTGTGACCAAAACGTGATATTTGCAATAACAAGCAACGATTTCAATATTCATATCAATATCAGGCGCAAATCTTTTGAAAGGATGGGTTGCGCATGCTTTATATTGCAAAACCATTATCGAATACGTGGAACGTTAACATTTGGGAAAACCCAGTCAAGTAGATTGTAAATATTATAATTGATAACTAACAATAATCAAAAAAAGATAATAAAGACAATGCTAACACATCGATGACTTTATATCTGTCTTACACTAATTTATTTCCATCGAACTTCGTACTAAAATTATAAATTCGAATGTTAAGATAGGTAGATGATTGAAGATATCTCCATAATGGCTGAACGGATCTCAATAAAATTTGGCACACATATAGAACAAAGTCTGGAAAAACACATAGCTTACTATTTTTTTAATCAATTGCTAGTGCACAAATAATCCCTATCTTCTAAATGGGTCGACTAAGGTTATAGATTTAAATTTGGCAACATATTTCTGCCTCTGTCCAACTTATTTTTATTCATGCATGTATTCGGCAATAGTTCCGTTCAATACTTCTCACGATTCTTATCATTTAATGAGGGATAATCTCTAGTTTAAAATTATGTCTGACGTCAACCTCGTTAGTCCCCGGCATCTTATCTACTACCGAAATTTATTAGCTTTTATTATCTATATTTAATAAATTAATTACGTATGCGTAACAAATAATTAGTGGTGCCTATGAGTGCAGTCGTACTGCAACAGCACCCGTAACCAAAGACTATGCATATACATCTACTAGCTGCCGCCCGCGACTATATTGGCGCGGAATTGAAATAAAAACTTAATTAGTAGCCTATGTGTTGTTCCAGAATATGTTCTACGTACATCCATCCATCCATTTCGCTTTTATATTATTAGTAAGAAGTAATATATACCGGATTAAAATTTAAAAACTAAACCATAGACAAATTACAATTTACACTAAGACTCCAAAAATCCAAAACATTTCTGCTAAAACATATTTCCTCACACAACCCTATAACATAAGCTACTCTTATTTACCAACCACATTTCTCTTTATCTCACAATTTTCATAAAATAACTAAATAAGTATACGGCTGCCATGTATGGATTTTAATGTTAATGTTTACATATTTAAATGAATAAATATCCTGATCGAAAACTGTGTTTGGATTGGGTATAGTTTAGGACTTATATAGGTACAAGTGTAAGTTATCTTATTAACTTACTCATTACTAGAGCCAAGTCCTTCGTGCAAGTCGTCCGCCATATGCTTGAGCTTCCAGTTGCGAGCGCGGCGCCGCGCAGACTTCTCCCCGTAGTACTTCTTAACAAGGAACACATCCGGTATACTATCTTTGTCTAGCTTGTCAAAGTTAGCATCGTTCACATTTGTATCACAGAGATTGTATCTATAAGAAACATGAAAATACAAATAAAATAAATTCAAATATATATAGATAGCAAAAAAAAAAGAAAATCTTAAAGATATCATGTCCTTTTAAGGAAAAGTTTCTTTACAATTTTATAATAGGTTTATTAAACATTAATCTAAGACATTTCTTTGACAAAAAATGAGAAATATTGCATAAGGTCACACCGTTATTTGGTTTACAAAACATTTGAAACATGGACTGCTTCCATATTTTTTAAGAGTAAAACAGTTAATTTTAATTTAATATTATTACACGTTTTCCTTTAATAATAATTCTGTTGCGTAATGAACATTTAAAACGAAATATAAAATGAAATATTTACCCCAAAACTGTGTCTCCAGGTTTTAATATATGCCCCAGATGTGTCTTTGTGTGTATAGGATTGACATCATGCCCCAATTCACTGGATTTCACGACCCATACATCTGCTATCACATGTTTGTTTGATACAACACCTTGTCCGGGGAATGTTTTCTTTTCCTATGAAAGAGGTAATATTATTAATAGTATAATTATTATTTTTTACTCGCACACAAAATTACGAAAACGAATTCTTAGTTGTAAATTGCTTATGTAAGGATCTGCTTTCACTAAAACACTCATTATATAGTAAATAATACATACATGTTCTTTCAATATATCAATATCCATAACAGTGTATTCAACTAATTGTTTAGGATTACATATTGGGGTGAAGGGATGTCTCCAATAAACAGTTGATGAAAGGTCACATACTGAAATAAAATACATGTATTAAAATCAAGTCATTTTCTTATACTAATATTATAAATGTAAATGGATGGATGGATGTTTGTTAAAAGATATCTCGATATTGTCTTAAGAAATCTCTGTGAAATATGGCATATATGTATAACGTAGCCCAACCTTACTAATTAGTAGCCTTTATGTATTTCCAGGAAACTTAATTTAGTTTTTTTTATAATTCGGCGCGGACAGAGTCACGGACAATAGTTTGTCTTTCTATTAATGTACCCAAGCTTATTAAGTTTAATACTTAAAAATAAATACATACCTTGGCCTGTATTAGGATCAATTAAATGTATGGTACTTGTTACTCTTGAAACAAGACATATAGGGGATATTGACCCCAATTGGTGAGTCAGTTTTTTCGGAAGGCAGACAACACTGTCCTTAGAGACAGGGACAATTTCAATGCTGTATGTAAACTTGTAGTTATAAATGTTACTGTGGATATCATGTGAAATCAATTTTTTTGAATGTTGACATTTAATCGGTAACACGGATTGTACAAAATCAACCATTTTACGAGCTGTGTTTTCTGTTGCATAGAAGAAATCTAATCCGTCTGAAATAAAATATAAAAAATTATTAATAAAAAACAGACAAGATTCAGAAATACTAAATTAAGGCAATTTTAATTTCATGGTGTCAAATTCAATTACTTAAAGTTAAATTGATACCTAAATGATATTGTGGAAATTGAAATGTGTAATACACTTATATCATGTTATTCTTCCTAAACCTGTATCAAAACTAGCAGTCGCTCGCAACTCTGCCCATACGAGATTTTAAAAAAAACATAATTATAGTAGCCTAAGTGTTCTTCCAGACTATGTTCTATTTGTATGCCAAATTTCATCAAATCCGTTCAGCCATTCTTGAGAGACCTTCAAATAACCACACATTCGATCCATCTAAACGTTCACATTTATAGTATTAATAGGATCGGGTCTTGTTCATAAAAATAATTTTAATGTTTTAAATAAAAAGATTTTCAATGCTAATATGTTAATGTGTTCATTTATTTTTAAAATAATATGTTAACTTTAAGCACAAGTACCACACAAAATCTTCCTAAGTTATAGTGTTAAAATTGTAGCTAAACTTTAGCCTTCCATTGTAAAACTTACCATGTTTAGGTTTAATTCCCAATGTGTTTTCATGTGCCTTGTGTTTCAATATTAACTGTTCAAGATAATAAAATGTCTTCCTGTTATTTGCGCGTTGTCTCACTTGTACTAATGCACGCCAATAATCTTGGGCTTCTGAACGATGACATGCATCACACATCTGATGCTGAATCACAAACTCTACTATGAATGTCTGCTGCAACACTGCACCCCCCATTACTTCACCTTGAACCGTTAATTTGACCTGGAAATAATAAATTGCTTATTAGAATATGTTTAAAAAACATTTTCTTAGTTTTATTTTAATATGCAGTGTTTATAAAAAATGGTGATAAAATCAGCCTACAGCTTTGGGTTATGAGTCTGAGTCATTGTCTACAAAGAATATAAAAAGGCATTATAATTACAAA